GCATCAACTTCTTGTTGGGTGCAAAGAGGATCAAGTCATCGACATAAACGGAAATGAACACCAGCTCCCCGTCGATGGCCTTGACTGCAACACACGCTTCACAATTCATGATGGTAAATCCTTGCTTGACCAAATGCTGCTTCAGTAGTTGAAACCACACTCGGGGCGCTTGTTTCAGCCCGTACAAACTCTTCTCCAGCTTGCAGACCCAGTCTTCTTTTCCTTATTGCACATACCCCTCGGGCTGCTCCATATACACTTCAACATCTATCGGCCCATTCCGAAATGCAGTGGTTACGTCCATCTGGTCAACCTCGTAGTCCCAGATTGATTGCTGCTAGTGTCAATAGCATCCTCAAAGATTCTAATCGGACTACTGGAGAGTACGCCTCCAGATAATCGATCCCGTACACCTGCATGAAGCCTTTGACGACCAACCGGGCTTTGAACCTTTCAATTTCTCCATCTTGCCGATACTTGACTTTGAAAATCCACCGATTCCCAAGTATTTTCATGTCTTTCTCGCGGGGAACTAATTTCCATGTGCCATTTTTCATTAATGCATGGTATTCAGTGTCTGCTGCAGCTCGCCACTCTTTGGCGTAGTCACGGGTGATCGCATCATCCAGCGTTTCTGGTTCATCGATGACACTTGCAGATACACAGCAGAAGTCTTGCCACCAGTCTATTGCTTTCTCTTTTGCAATTTCCAGCTGCATCTCATCACGTGTCTTCTCCCAAGCAGATGAACCAGTCGAGGATTTCTTTTTCATTGAGTCTCTATAAGCAAGATGAATAGTATCTCCTAACCACCGTGGCGGTCGGGATACTCTGCCACTCTTCGTTTTGTATTCTCTGCAGCCTGTCTTCCGTGCCTTGTTGCGCGACAATTCTTGCGGACTAAAGGCGGTAAGGCGCCCTAACTGCGAATTGTCCTGCACATCAGGCTTCTCCGTGTTGGTGGTCGTTATTTCACCAAACACCGGAGCTGAAGACTTCCGCATCTCGTCTCCCTTTTCATCTTGCCTCACATTCGGTGTCGTACACCGCCCACTGTCATCATTTTCAGACTCTGCAGTCGGTATCACATACCGCCCACTGCTTTTCTTTCGTTGTTTGGATCTCTTCCTCGATTTCCTCTCGCTGTTTTCGGTTTCAGACTCAGTATTTCGTGTCACACAGTTCCCACGACGTTCTTTCTCCTTCTGGGTTTGCTCGTCGATTTCGCACCAAGTTCCGAGCTCTCGGATGTACATCTAGCTCGGACTTCTATTCGCGGAAATGCTTCACCTTGGCTGCGGCTTTCTTGACTCTGATTTTCAGAATCAACACGAGGTTCACTAGTAGCCCCACCAGTTCAAGATTCCGTCCTTCGCCGGTCGTTTGTTTGCACTTCTTCGAGTATTGATGGAATTCGTTGCATCGTATCAACATCAATATTCAAATACTCCGACGTTGGGACACTTGGCGCTGTCGTGCCATCTTCAAGCATGATTCGGCCCGGCTTGGCTTCGTAAAATACCGCTGTATGACTGTAAAATGCCTTGTTCGTCTAGCTATCAGCAAGCAATATCCTCTCTGTTCTCGAGAGTAGCCAACAAATACAGCTTATTTCGCTCTTGCATCCATCTTTTTGCGATCAACTTTGTCAACATAAGCTAAAACAGCGCAACCAAATATACGAAGCCTCGTATAAGCCGGTGTCTCTCTAAACCAAATTGCATACGGAATTTCCATTCTTCTTGTTGTGTTCGGAACT